GGTGGAGCGGCGCCTCATAGGCCTGGGTCTCGGCATGCTGCGGTGGATCTCTGCACTTCACTCGTCCCCATCGGCTGCCGTCCGTGTGAACGAGGCCCGCTCTGATTTCCTCTCCAATGGCACCAGGCAGGGATGCCCCCTCTCCACACTCATATTCATCCTCACCTTGGAACCATTCCTCTGCCGTGGGCGATCCCTGCCTGACCTCCGAGGCCTGATAGAACATTCCGGGGAGCATAAGGAAGCCGCCCTCTTGCATTTCTGATCCGTCCTCATGCGGGAAATGGACCGCTACGCTTCCCTCTCAAACTTCAAAATAAGTGTTTCCAAATCAGCCGCCCTAAATCCCTCCCTCCAGCAGAGGTGGTTCGCCTGCGATCCTCCTTTGCCTGGTCCTCGGACGCCCTGACCTACCTAGGCACTTCTATGGCGGCAGACCCCATTCCACTAGATGAGCTCAATTTTGCCTCCCCCAGAAAATCAAACAAGACCTCTTGTTCCGGCACTCGATGTCACTCTCGTGGTTTGGCCGCTGTAATGCCATCTCTACCAAGAGTCCTTTACCGGTGCCAAGCCCTTCCGATCCACATCCCACCACTATCCTTCCGCCGCCTGCGTCAAATGCTTACGGCCTTCCTGTGGTCTTATGCTCCCCCCCTAGAATCCGCTTCTCTGTTACTACCCTACCCAAAAACAAAGGGAGGCATCGGGCTCCCGGCCAAATACCACGGGGCGACCCCCACCTTGCGCGCATCCGGGACTGGTGCTGCCACCGGAAAACTAAGCAGTGGGTGGGCATGGAAGAATTCCTGATAGCTAGATCGCTCTTTCGCTCCACAGATATCTCCCCCCTTCCCATCACCTCTGACCCCAGTGATCGGCCACCCGGATTCCTTGCCTGGCGTCAATGACTCTCGCTTTCGTCGCCTCCGTGAAGCCAACAAATTCAGAATCGCCGACCTACGCCTCTCCGGCCGCTGAGCTGCCTGACAGAACCTGCCTACACACATCCTGCCCTCTACTGCTCCCCTTCTGGCCGGCGGGGGTGATCGCCACCAT